GATTCATAGCAAGGCAGGTGTGGGAACAACCCAAATGTGAGCCAAGCACTTTCAGTGTTTAGGTTTTTCTTTTTCAAAGGGGGTCCCCCAGGCTGAGTTACCAGATAAAATATAAGGAGAAGACCAGTTAAGTTTGAATTTTAGATAAATAAGTAATACTTTTTAGTAAGAATATGTCCCAAATATCACATGAGATGTACAGGACACTCAGTTAATTTGATTTAGTATTTTTATTTGCTAACTCTGGCAGCCCTGATTTCAGGGTAATTTTGACTGCATTTGATCATTACCACATGCTTTTATTCTAAGACCTTGACCTTGACCTGTGAGGAGCCTCCATTGATACCTTTTTTACTCTTAACAACCTGGAGAGTTAGGGATTATTATAGGTCATTTTAAAGCTGCAGGAGCTAAATTTTCTCCTCAGACTTCAGTGCCTCACTAGAGTCGTTGGTTTGGGCCATACGAATTCTGACCATAGCTCTTAATCCTTTTAGTGTATTTACGGTCCAAAAAGACACACGTCATTGGGGAACCATGAAGACAGGAAAGGCAAGTTTACTCCTGGACAAAACCTCTATGTCCCCACTGTGATGGGGATGGTGTATCCAGCCTGATAGTAGTAATAATAGCAGCAGCAAACACTAAGTACCACTTATTACTACTAAGTGCCAAGTACATCTACTCAAAACTCTTACTGCTCCCTTTTTACAGTGGGGGGAAACTTAGGCACAAAGAGGTTAAGGAGCTTGCCCTCTCATTGTCAAAGTCTGAGCCTAACCTTATCTTCTTGGAGAGATGTTGCTAGATGTTCCTTAGATAAGCCCTTCTCCCCCGTCACTCTGTATCATAGCACTCTGTTTCTTTACCAAGCTGAAACTCAAAAGCCTTTCAAAGCAGGTCAGGCCCTCCCAGCAGCAGCCCTCCCATTTGGAAATGCCTCCTCCTTATTTGTAACAAATCATTTGGTGCCTATTCTCCCTACCTGGGTACCCTTCATATGGGCAGCAAAAGGGTCTGTTCCATTTGTAAATCCCCCCCCCCACCATTTATAATTAACCATTTGGTGCCTATTCTGAGTATCCCATAATGACAATAAATGGGTCTGTTTCAGTGTTCTAGTGCCAGGGCCAGCCCTTAGCATTGTGGGGACAGAATAAATACCATGTGCATTAGTAAGCAGTCAGTGCCTTTCCCTGTGGACAGCCTAAATTAATCTGGAAGGTTCATTTGAAGTTCTCCCCTCCCCCAATAAAGCTTCCTTCTGGCATGTAGTGCCTTCTGCATAAACCACTGTTTGAGGTCACTAGAGCTTACCTCTGCCAGCCTGCAATGGCTTGCAGCAGCCAGGTTCCTGGGTTGCCTCAGGAAGGAAGAAATGTACCCCAAACTACACCACGTTTAATTTCTAAGTCACCTGGGTGCCTCTTTGAAGACGCAGGTCTTGCTCATCAGGATCATTCCTGGACTCCCTATTTCTGTAGAGAAGAAAAGCAGTTGTAAAACAGGGTTTGCAAACAACAGCCTCTCTTCTATTGACAGGGTGACAAGCAATGGTCTTAAAGGGAAATGTATTATTTCTCTATGTGCATGGGCTCTATCTATACACATACACATTTCTCCCAAATGCCTTGCTTCTCAAGGAGTAAGTGCACCTCAGAATTAACTGAGAACTTTGAAAAAGTCCCCAAACCCAGGCTGTCCCCAAACAAATTAAATCAGAATCCCTGGGTGGACCCAGGCAATAGTGTTTTTTAAAGTTCCCCAGGTGAATCCAGTGGGCAGCCAGCACTACTGTTCTAAAGAAAGCCACATTTTTCCATCTGGGGCTTTTAGGAGGGAAACCTCTAAGTTTGAAAAACCATATACAGCAGAGCTTTGCAAATATGATTAGTTTTTGTTTTATTTATTTCTCTACCTCACATAAACAACTTCGAAGTGTGGGCACAACGTTGCCATCTGTAAGGCATATGACAATAACAGACGGTCTCCTAATAACCAGGGAGGCATTAACGTTCACAGGCTCTAAATTATTTGGATTCATCTGGTATGATCTGTGGTGATGAAGCCACTTAATGCTGGGTTTCTGTGTCTTTTCAATGGCAGCACCAGAAGTGGGAAGGCCATATTTTCTGGGCTGTATATATTGTTCTTTGTCATCCTATTGAATTGTTACAAGATGGATTTATAACAGACCTAAAGCTAGTATCAAAATGAAAATTAGTTCTTGAGTAGAAAAATAGCAATCCTGTTTGACTCGCCTGTAGCGATGGTGTTCTATCTGCCTCTGCGAGGAGGGAAATGACTTCTTAATGTGGTTTTCTTCCACTAAGGAGAATTAAATCTATGTGGCAAAATGTAAAACCAGAGTGCTGGCAGCCAAATTCTGAACAGAAGATCCATGACCCTCATCAACATATTTGTGGCCCAGTTATATGCTAATGAACCTCATTTAGACTGAAACTTACCCCAAGTGGAAATATAGCTCAGCTGGAGAGCCTGGGTATCATTCCTTTGTGTGTCAAAGTTTGCTCAGAAATACTGGGGAAATTTCTCCATCTGCTCCAAGGGGCCACATTGGGGGGAATGGGGTCTCTCTCAGATTTACAGTGATTTTGGCCCAAGATAGCAAACTCCACTATGTTAGTGGAGAGACTTTTTGCTGAGGCAGCAAGATGCTTTTCAAAGGACTGCCTTTTGGCTGGGGAGGGGACTGCGCCTGGTGGGTGGAACTGGCCACTCAGGTGGCAGGCAGCTCCTCTAGGATAGATAAAAAGGCAAACATTGTTGGGAATAACTCAGCCACTGCCTAGCTGGCTGATCTTTGACAAGCAAATGAACTTCCTCAGAGCTCAATTTCTTCCTTGGTAAAGATGGAGCTAGGCGGTGCCTGCCTTGTGTAGGGATTATGGTACAGATTAAATGAAATGGTGCAGGATGAAATAATATACATCAAAGAAACTACCAGTTCATATCATAAATACTGGCCATCATTGGTACTGTTAAAACATTTACCTCAATCTCTTCAAACGACTTACAAAATACTACACTGCACATCCTGTGAATTTATACCTTCAGCATTTTACAATGGATAAAGCCACACACAGGAATAACAAATTTAGTTAATAAAACTGAACTGCAATAGGAGATTAAGGGGGAAAATTGAGCTCTTCTAATGAAGAGCTCTGAGAACATCCTCTCTCTGGTAGAATGGAAATTTTATTTACTCTATATGCAAATCTGAGACATATACAAGATGTTTTTAAAAATAAATATGCGTATTTGAAGAGGATTTTTAAATGATTTAATTGACTTAGATCGATTGTTAATTTCTTGATGTTTTCTAATTTTTTTTAACTGTTTGCCTGCTAAAGCCTCTTTTAATGGATATGCTCTTATTTCTTACTCAGTACTCATGGCTCTTGTACTGTTATCATAGATTTGCTTGGGCTATTTTGCTTCACTGAACAAAACTGCTCCGAGCTCATAAGAGAGACTAAGCCAAAGAGAATAGTAGGGAAGCCATAGGCCACTTTAGGAGAATGATCATGGGTAGGTGTAAAACAGTTTCTTCATTGAATGGTGAGTAAAATACATGAATGATGCCAGCCAAGCATAAGATCAGAGAGTACTGGGGATTACTGTAAATGGGAGGAAGCTCTCCAGTCTGTGACCTCCCACTTACAGCCTCCAGCAGACAAGACAAGGCATCGAACAGGCCACAGCATAGCCTGATCTGGTTATCACCAAAGCTGGAAATGTGGACAGTTACATGACACCTCCCCATTTTCAAATTTTGGCAACCAATACAATTAAAGGACATACACCTTTCAGCCTCTGATTTGCAAATTCTGTTTAGCCATCCGCACAACACTTGTTCAAAGATCCCAAGGACCCATTATTAATAAGCCTATTCCATTGTTTTCTCCAAAGCTCCAGAAACATGACAAAGAGGAAGAGGACTCCCCAACCTTGTGGAGATCTGAGGAGGAAATGGCATCAGAAGCTGCAGCACTAAGGGTCTACTTTCAGTGACTTTGCAGGTAAAGACTGTGCCTTCATCATCACTCACAGCTTCCATGGGGCCTTGGAAGGAGACTCCCTGCCCAGGATGGGGACACATAAAAATAGGTACAGAGGAATTCAAAAGATATAAAAGCCTGAGCAGAAAAAACCCTGACCCTTGAGGCAGGGATTCCTACCTCTGGGTTTCCTCTTGCTCCCTGCCTCCATGTCACCTTCTACATAACTATCAGCTCACTTCCTTCCAGCCACCTTCCCCTAGCCCACCTGGGTCACCATCCTGCCCTTCTCCAGTTCAATCCTGCCAGGCAGCCCAAAATCTTTTGTAATGCATACCTGATCCTTTAAAAAGTTAATACCCACTGAGAGCTCTAGTCTCAGATTTCTACATAGGCTGGAAGGGGCTTGTGAGCCAGCTGACTCACTATCTTCTGACCAGATCAGTCTTTCTTCCACTTGGGCCTCTTCTCTTCAGCTGCTATTTGGTAAATTGCTTTTGTAAATTCCCTTTAGTTTTGGCTGCTGGGAAGCTCAAGGCCACAGGGAAAGGGCAGACATGATAGAATTATCTCTTTGCATTAATGATGTTGAACTGTTGAGAGATGACAGATTTAAGATTCTGGTGGAAAGCTGTAGCCAGTTTCCTTTTTTAAAATGCATATCTGCACCAAATATTTATAGAATATCCAGGAGCTTATGGATCTTCTGAAATGTACTAATAAATGGGGTTGCCATGAAATATTGGGGCATCCCTAGACTAAAAAATACCACCTATATTTTATCTGTCAACCCTGTTAAAAACAAAACAAAACAAACAAAACTCCTTCCATGGTCCTCAGATAAAGTGTCTCTCTCCTAAATAGTTCTTTTCCTTTTGGGAATTGTCTGCTTCATCTGGTCTTGTGTTTATACTATAAGCTGTTGAAGTAGATCAGACACAAATTAAAAACACAATTAGTGAATACTGGTAGCAACAGGATTATATAAAATTATATCCACTGCTTAGTGGTCATGATTTTTAGGTAGAAAACATGTTCATTGTATTCCATTTTCCCTTTGAAATAGGAGTCTTTTATAGTTAGTTTTTAGTATTTGTGCATTTCTTGGGCATTCTTTCCTCTGCCTCCTTTTTAAAGTATTCCAATTACTTGAAGACCAAGTATCAACTAGGTCTCCCCCATTATTGTTCATGCATGTCCTAGTGCTCAGGCACTTGCATTCTAGAACACTTACTTCATTGGAGAATGAAACTGGAGAATGTCACTGGCTTGTCAGCTGCATTCCATTCAATTGCCTGAAGGGATATAGTGTAGTGCTAGCAAAAGCTGTCTTTGATCATTTATTTCTAAACTTTTCTACTGTTCACCTTCTCATTTCTTCCTTCCTTCCTTCCTCTGGATCAAGCCAGTCTACCTAAGAACACAAACCCATAGGCATGGCTGCAGATCTCCTTCTGTTCCTCTTCTGAAAGCCAGTGTGTCATTGTGGGATGTCCCATTCAAATGGGGTTGCTGTTCTTCAGACTCAACTTACTAAGCTGATCTTTTCTTTTTTTCTTCCAGTTTCTTATGTAATAGGGACTTCCAGATCAAGGCAAGAAAGCTCTAGACTTTTCCTGAGGCTTGCTGAATTGTAGGCCTCTGTGTTAGAATGCATTTTCTAGACATTTTAAGAGGATTTAAACTTACTACCCAAGTTTCCTGTATGCTTTGCTTCACCAGTTTTTGCTTCTGTCATGCCTTGAGGCCTAACATCTCCTGTCTTCTGGGTGAATCAACTTGCCTTGGAAGTCTTGCCAGAAAGACATTCATCCCAGCTTGCTGTACAAACTATTGCCACAATGCCTGTGGGTTTTTTAAATTAATTAGCATTAATATCTCTCTTTAAAGGCCTTTGGTTACAGACCAAACAAATCACCTTCAGTTTTCTCAGCCATCAGAGGTAGGAACAGAGAAAAGGAGCGATGATGATGTGGGTTGCCAAATAGCTCAACTAGTAACTTGGAGGCTAGGGACTTAAGCATAGGGTCCTAAGATTTCACCAAGAGCACCATCATCTCCTGCAATATAAAGGGATAATATATATTTCCCCTTAGAGGCAAAGGTTTGATACCCACTCTCCTTCCTTTTCAAAATGCATCTGCATACCAAATGTTTATGTAATGTTAAGGGATTCATAGAACTTCTGAAACTTCATTAATAAATAGGGCTGTCATGCAATATTTGAATATACCTAGACCTAAAAAAATTATTCATTGTTTATGTGAAATTCAGATAAGCTTGACCTCTCCAAGGTTTCTCCATTACACCCTCAGCAGCAAGTCGGTCTTAGGCAGAGCCAGTATGAAGACACTCATGTTGCTTACCTGGGAAGACTGCACAATTCACAACACGCACAAAGGCAGGTAGGCTAGGGTTCAGCCCTGGAAAGGATAATAGTAGCCAACATTTCCAAGTTTGTAAGATACAGGTTCTATTATCCCATCTTGCAGATAATAAGAAAACTGAATCTCAATGATGTTAAGTGTTATTACAAGGTAAATAGTTCCAAGTGACAGAGTTGAGATAGAACCCAGACACTCAAACCCCAAAGACCATTCTCTTAGTCTCTGGACTGCCTATCTTGCTAAAAGAGCTCACTTTCCCAGCCAACACAGCCCCTGCATTCCAACTCTCCTTGCTTGCAAGTTTTTCCAGACTGAACTAATTCTTATCTAGGCACCTGTCCTCTTCACTTCACCATGTGACCAAGTACCTAAGTAATATGACCTTGGGCAAATACAGTGTTTCCCAAATCTCTCTCATTCCTATGTCATCATGCCTCTCTCTCTTTCTTTCTCTCTCTCTCTGTACCAGGGTATTGTTTACTCATTATTTACCTGATTCACTTTTAAACGTTCTATGTTAACGTCAATGAAAAACAAGTATTATTTGCAATTAGAAATTAAGCATAAAAATAAATATGAAAGAAAAACAATGCTGATGAATTCCAGCTTGGCATAGTTGCTTGCCTATAGACATTGGGAGTGAGATTCATTCTCTCTTTGCTAAAAAGAGAGGCTAGCCATTGTTACAGAGGCATTCCATTCCAGAACTGAACAAAGACTCTCTATTTGACTTATTTAAAAGGATTAAAAGGGAATAATTTATTAATAGTGAGATTCAGTGAAGATCATCTAAAATTATCATAAACAGACAAATGATACCTGTCTTTGGAAGACAGCAATGGAGGTCAGAATTCAAACCCAGAGCAAGCTGACTCCAGACCTGTAGCAATCCCCCTAAGTTAGTGCTCCCCATGTCTCTCACCAGGTATGTGGAGAAGATAAGGCACCTGGGGGGAACCAGAGTCAGCTTCCCTAGGGATAAGAGCCCAGTCTCTTGTACTTGGCTGGAGGACACTGGGCAGCAAGCCCCACATCATGCCCTACTGCTCCTGACAGGCATGCTTAGTCTCTAGGCTGATGGGATCTATCTGAAATCACTGCTTCTCCTGGGAGACCAACTCCTAAGGCTTGGCCTCCACACTGTGTTTGCCATTAGTCTATCTTAAAAACCGGTGTGCAAACCTGTACCCAGAGATGCCCAATATGGGGAAGGGACTATAATAGACAAAAACAACAACAACAACAACAAAACCAGAAAAACTACTCTCTCCTGAATGTTTGGTGTGGAAATACTAGCAACCTCTCAGTAAGTAGAAACCCCTGTTTTGTATCTTCTTTACGTATAAACCCCCATTAATCCCCAAGCATGACAAGACTGCCATAGGACCACAGAGATAAACATCCTCAAACTATGAACTCTTTACTCAGCCTCTTGAAGCCATCAGGGCATCAACATTCTCTTAGATGTATAGAATTCTCTTGATCTTCCCATGTAATCCTACAGGATGTTTTGGTGTTTTGACTACTCTCTGTATCCTTTTCCTAGCAGAAAATGACTTTAAATTGCAATTTCTTAAGCAATAGTGAAAAACAGACATTGCCTTCATCAGGCACGGCAGAGACAACAGCCCAAGTGTTGCTGAATGAAGCTCCTCCACCTGACAGATCCCTAATGAGGGTGGGAATCCCTTGGTTCTAGGAATTCAACACCTGCCTTCTGCTTAGGTGAATTTGTGCAGTGGCTCCCCACATACTGGGCTGAGTTCCGAGATGGGGCTTTGTGATGGCTCTTCTGGTCTGTGTTCTGAATCACATCAGATTACAGTGCATCCATATCCCTTATCTAACTGCATCTTTCCTGGAACATAATAATTCTTTACATAGGTGTTTCATACCTGGGTGTGCTGCCTTTATACACCCGTGTTGAGCTTCCTACTTAATTGTAAAGCAATGCCATGTGTCCTAGTGAGGGAAGGCTCCCACCCCATGTTAGAACTGAGTGGGCTAGTTGCTTGTAAAGTCTGCAAGCATCACCCTAACTCTGATAGGAAGAGCAGAGAAGGTTTCCACACCCTGTTGTGTCAGCAGAGTTCATTTGTAATTCATCAAACTCTCCTCTGTGCATGCCGTTATTTTATAGATAATTGGTTGCCTCTCATTACTCATAACAGAGCCATGCAATTTCAAAGCAACTGAGTCAGCCCAAAACAGCATTATTAGTAGTTACAGATATACTGTCGAGGCAAAATTTTGACACTGGCATTTTTGAAAAATCACCATAATTCCAGCCACTGGACCACACTTATATCATAATCATGGACAGTCAAGGTGGACGAGAAAGGACAGGTTTGCTTATTTAGCACCTGTTCTGGTCACTGAATCGTGCCTTTTAAAACATACCCCACCAGTTTGGACAAATTCTCATCCTTCTCAGAGAGGGTCTGCTCTCAGCCTAGCAGCCTCTGATGAGAAAGGCCAGAAAGTCGATCATAGTATTCTCATGTTTTCTCAGGAGAGAGGAGGGTTTTAATGTCAGCTCCTTGGCAGTTCAATCCTAAACCTACCAGGCAATCCCCATGTGGAGGTATGATTAGGACCGATGAATGTGTTTACCAACACTCATTGCCAAATTAA